CCATCTTTCATGATGTCAAGTTCAAGTTTGTGTTCAATTACCTCGACGATCTCTTGGTGTACAGTGAGAGCTTCGAAGATCACCTGATTCATCTTGAAGAAGTCATGAGTAGATTGAATAGGGCTGGCCTTACCGTGAATCCTGACAAGGTTAGTTTTGCAAAGCCGGAAATTTCGTTCCTTGGTCATCTTATCTCTCATAGAGGCGTCTGCATCGACCCCGCTAGAACCCAGGCTATCAGGGAGTTTCCTCCTCCCAGAGATGTCAAGGGTATTGCTAGGTTCATCGGCATGGTAGGTTTTTACCGACGCTTCATACCCAATGTTGCTGAATTGGCGGCTCCTCTCAATGAGCTTCGGAAGAAGGGCGCCAAGTTTGTCTGGGGTGAAGCGCAGCAGACGTCTTTTGATCTTCTCAAGGAGGCTATCATGCAGCCCCCTGTTTTGGCGATGCCGGATTTCAATCAAAACTTTGTCTTGCAAACAGATGCTTCCTCCGTCGCAATTGCGGCTGTGTTGTCACAAGAGGTGGATGGTGTTAGGCAGCCAATTGCGTACGCCTCACGCACTTTGAGTCCCTGCGAAAAGAAAAGCTCTTCGGTGTATGAACTCGAGTGTTTGGCTGTCGTGTTTGGAGTCAATAAATTCAGACGCTTTTTGGAGCACAAGGAGTTTTTATTGGAAACCGACAACCAGGCACTCTCGTGGCTTCTTGCACATCCACGCCAGCTTGGGAAAATTGGTCGTTGGGTTGTCCAAATATCGTCCCTTAAGTTCCAAGTGCAACACGTTCGAGGCACTCAGAATGTGATTGCTGACACACTATCTAGGATGTACCATTCACCCGACGATCATCCTTCTGACCAAGAGCAACCGGGTTGTGCCGTGCTCTTGGAGTTTCCACTCGCCTTTTCTGATTTCATTCCCCATCAGCTGAAGGATCCTGAGCTGGCAAAGATCATTGGTGAGCTTCAAAATGGGGGAGCCCACCCCCCATATTTTCTGTCCCAGGGTGCCCTTTGCTGTCGCGCTCGGCAGCGAGGTAAACCTAAAGTTGTGCTGCCTAGTCTTCTAATCCCTATGGTCTTTGAGTATTTTCATTCGTCTCCTGTGGGTGGGCATCTAGGTATCCACAAGACCATTGCGAAGGTTAGGGAAATGTTCATCTGGAAGGGTATGGATCGGGATCTTGCTGCTAGGGTGCGTTCTTGTCAAACGTGCTCACTGAGCAAGCCCGCTCAAAACTCTAAGTTTGGTTTGTTGTCATCTGAGGTGGCGGAAAGACCTTTGGAGAAGGTTTTCATTGACTATGTAGGGCCTCTCCCGCGTAGCAAGTCAGGAAATAAGTTCCTACTTGTTTGTGTGGATGCCTTCTCCAAGTTTTGTTGGCTTTTCCCCTTAAGGAATGCCACTGCACAGCTCACCGTGCAGGTACTTCGAACTCACCTCTTCCAACATTTTGGAATACCCGCCACCATTGTTTCCGACAACGGAACACAGTTTGTTTCCCATCTGTTCAAAAGAATGTGCTTTGGGCACGGAATCCGCCATGTGACTACTTCCCCTTACTATCCACAGCCTTCTCATGCTGAAAGGTTCAATCGCAATCTTCGTTCCGCTCTCATAGCTTTCCATGCTGACAAGCAGACCACCTGGGATCAGGAACTCCCTTGGCTTCAGTTTGCTTTCAATACTGCTCACCATGAGAGTCACAAGGCGGTCCCTTTCGAGCTGTTTGTAAAGCTGTGTAAAGCATGTGTTTTGTAAAGCTCATCCAGCCAGTTCGGCTGTGGACAAGAGAGCTGCAAAGTTGTGTCATCGGTGGTCAGGTCCCCACCGCATCCTGAGGTTTTTGACGCCTGTCACGGCGGAGCTTGGAGATCCGCGGACTGGAAAAGTGTTCCGGAGGGCGCACATTTCTCATCTCAAGCCCTTCCGCGGAACTCTTCCGTAGGCAATTTTCTTTCCTCTTGTGTCTGGGTGGGAAGTGCACTGGGCCAGAGAACCTGATCACTTCTCCTGTCCCCTGTGTTCTGCGAAGGAATTTCCCTCACAAAATTTTCCAGCTCTGGCCAGAGCAAACCCTGGGGGTGAGTTTTCCCCTCAGTTTGGAAGTCCCTTGGCGTTCCCCACCACAGACACTTGAGTTGTCTTTCAGGTCATTCTCTTTTCAGGAAGTGGGGGAGAGGCTTGTTTGTTTGTCCCTCTTGGAGAGGAGTGTCCTCTTTTGGGGAGGGAGGTTGAGCCGTGACTATTTCCACCGGGCGAATGTCACGACTCATGATCAATGGTTCAAGTGTTTTTTTTATAGTAGGCTAGTTCAGTGTTTCTCACTCCACGACCCTTGAACAAGGCTGTGGGTTTTGTTCTTTTTACTCCCACCGCCGACGATTCAGAGGCTCCGAGACTTTCGTTAGCGCTGCATCGGCATAAATTTTGCATCGTCTAACATCTTAATTTTGTAGTATGTTTGCGTTGTATTTTTGCCCTTTTCTTACTTGTGTGAAGATATTCTCTACTATGCAGTAAATTAAGAGCGCCCAGCGCGCTTGATGGGTAAGTTTGGACTATTTTCTGATACTTAAGTTAGGTTAGGATTGCCACATGTTGCACTAGGTCTGGAACCCAGTCTTGGGGTCGTGGAACCCTTTTTGATAGTTAGTTTCCCTTTTCTCTGTTGGTTTGTTTAATTCAGGGCTTTGCCCGAAATGCTAGGCCTAGAATTGACTGAGAAATGTTTGTTGGAAGGCCGCTATTTGAGAGAAACTGCCAAGTCAGTTTTTGGTCCTTCTGACTGCTTTGTGGTAGGCCTAGGCCTACAATTTTGCTTTGTAAATGTAATTGTCTTAGGCTACTACTCTGGTAGTCTTTTGTTTCTGTGTCCCGTACAATTTTAGTGTTGTTTTGTCTTGTAAAATGTTCAGTTTGTGTTACCCAGTCAAGTATTGTTAAAGTCTTTTATTTTGCTTTGTCCTTGCCAAACTAGTTAAATTAAGTTGAATTAACTGCTCTTAAAGCTCCCCTGAAAGTTTGAGTCATTTTACTCAAGTTTTAAGAAAGTTACAGTAATTTTTAGTTTGGCAATTCTCCATTCAGGTTTGAACTGGGTAACCAATAGGCCAACTGGTTTCAGCCTTTGAGTTAAGGTTTGGGATGGTCTGGAGAAGCTGCTGGAACATTCCCCCCAGCTTTTAAGACCTTTCCGAACAAATTCGGATCACAACTTTTGGAGAAATTAGCAAAAATACATGAGTCGTTGCGTTAGGCCTAAATTTTTGTTTGGAACGTTTTTTGTCAATTTTAAAGTATTTTTCTGTGTTTAAATGTCAATTGTTTTTTGTTAACTTGTTCTTCTGGCCACTTTGGACCAGACAATTAAAATATTTTCTCTCTATTGGTGAAATATACCACTGTCACATACCTGTCTGGCCTGCTGACGGCTTTACCGCAAATATTAATGTTACCATTCTTGTACTGTTTAACCTGTTAATTGTTATGTTTAGAATATTGTTATTGTTTGAAATGTTTTACATTGATAAAGAGCTGTTAAAGAGAGATAAACCTTTTAAAAATTTATTATTTTTTTGAAAATATTATGTTAGGCCTAATCTGTGGATTTTGGGAAGTCAGTGAAAATAGTGAAATGTGTGACAGTGAATTTTGCGGATATGGACTTGAACTCTTTCTGGTACTACTGTGTTTCTGGGTTTGTTACTCAGGGCCCGTGAGGAGGAACATGTAGCAGCCGCATCAGCATTGACGGAGTGGATTCTACTACTCTTGGCCACCCCTGGATCATGGCCCCCCTCTTCCGTCATGCTCGTTTCCCCCTCCGGTGCTGCTTGCCCAGAACCATTGAACTGAATACGCCCTACCGCAAGTTACCCCCACTGTTGTTATGTTTTGATTTTATTTATAAAAAAGGCAACCCAAGAGACTATTTAAAAATTATTATTTGTTATAGGCCTATACATAGTTTATTAATTGTTATTCTTTTTAAATTTTAAATTCTTTAGCCTAGGCTACTTGTTGATTTTTAGATTTTATAATTTTTTTACATATCCAATTAAATTTCTTTTTGGGGCCCCTAAATGTTAAATTGTTACCAGTTATTTAAAGGAAGAGATTTTTATATATTCATTGTTGCTATTTTACAAATTTTATTTTACTAAGGTTAAAACTGATTAAATTTTACTTTGACTGAATTTAGCCTATTTTGAATTTTTTTTAAATTAATGTTCCTTTGTAAGTCAGTAGGCCAAATTGGTAACAAAAATTTATTTAAACTTTAATTGAGAGTATTTAGGCTAATTCATGTATTATTGTTAATTATTGTTGTGTTATTCTTTTAATGGTTAATTACAGCTCGTTTCTCTCAAATGGCGTGTTGTTCTTGAACCTCCATCCATGGTTCTCATTTTGTTAAGTAATGTTTTGTGAGCCGCTTCTCGGGCCTGCGCATGGATCACGCTTCCATTTCGTTAGTCTGGGGGCAGGCTCGAGGGCATGGTTCAGTTATTAGAGAGATTTTCAATCATCAGAGCAGTAATCAAACAGTAATAACTTAGTAATCAGAATGTCCCCGGATCGCAGTAAAGTAAGTTACTGTAAAGTAAGTTTGGTGGTTCAAAATCATACCAAGTTTTAATTAATTGCTGTATCAATGATTCATTTTTTTTCTAACTAAGCATCTGACCTCAGCCAGAAACATATTTTACTCTTATTTGTTCGACCCTTATCCTTGGCTCATCTTCCCTTTACAATTTCACTCGGAAATGGCAACATTTCAATTCAGTACAGTTCAATACAGTATATTTAAATAGTTTTCCGGTGTGATCATGTGTTATAATTAGTAGGAAACAATAGTAAATATGATATGCGATTCAAAACTTAGACATTTCTCAAAAGAAATGTTGACAACCAATAGTTAAAAAACATCTGCACCAGACACCAGCTATGTGATTTACTCGAACAGTTTCCAACGCCACAGTTGCATACTCCTCATGGTCCCTGGGTGGTGGTTGAGCCCCCCGTCAGCTCAGACCTAGCCGTGGCGACCACCTTGGCCAGTTGTTGCTCCATGTTGTTGATCAGTCGCTTGACTGTCTCCTCTATGTTGTTGTTGGATTTTCTCAACGAAGACTCGACGCGGGTGTAGATCACACCAGCCTGTCTCATGGCCTCCTCTACTTGCTTGCTCAGGTTGGTTTGGAAAGTCGTTCCGATCTAGAATCGTAGTGTAGAATTAGGAGTGTAATAGATGACCAGGAGAAGACTTTACAGCTAATTTTACTCATTTGTAAGTAGTATGAAAGTATTGATAAACATGTCATTGGTTTATGGTAAATCATCAAACACTTTTAGAATCGACAAAAGAGTGTTAACCAATTATAGAACTATTTCTTAATAGTTTTTTTTTTTTTTTTTTTTTTTTTTTTTTTTGATACAGATAACATGTCCGGTTGTTGGTAGTTTAATTTACTTTTATTAGTATTGGTGCAGATATTTGGCAAAATCTGTCGGAGGCTTAGTTAAACTACGATGATTTCTATTTTGAACTTTAGCTATACCTTTTTCATGAGAATGTAAATTCATGGTTCTATCCTAAATCCAAGCTATAGGCATTCAATTACAAATCAGCATACCTGACTAGCTTTGACCTGAGCGTCAGCAATTCCTTTGTTGATGTCGTTGTACAGGTTCGCCAACAACAGACTCGCATTTCCCTCAGCAATCTGTGTCAAGATGGTAGCATTGGTCAACAGCTGATTGGTCAGTATCACCAGCTGAACCCGCGCCTCTTGCACAACTCCGCTCGCCTTCCAGTCAAACTCTTGCAGACTGGCGTTGTGTTGACCTGCGGCCATGCTGACAGCCTGTCAGTTATGTCATGGATATAATAATAAACTGTTATATAATGATTTATCCAATATTTTCTGACTTACAACTAGCTACAATGTATGTGATAACAGTGGATTTAACCAAAGCAAAAAATAATTTAAAAAATAATCAAATGAGATACAGGCCCCTAAATGATTGGCGGTTGTATGAATTTGGTAATTCTAGTTTGATGAACAAAAACTAAAATTTAATGTTTTTACCAAGGTGGTCTATAATACTCTATTTAGAAAATAGTATTTGTTTGGTTTCTGCTTGTTATAAGGGTCGTTCTTCAAAACAAAATTAATATCCAATAAAAATAAGCAGCATCAAAAATTTAAGAAAATATTACTTATTAAATTTCAAAAATTGATGAATAGAATACACCTCGGAATTTTTTGTTATTCGATATAGTCTCTAGTGTAGAATCTAGTTGACAATACAAAGGCATATTTTTTATCAAGAATTGATGAAAAGAAAACAGCTGTGATTAAAGACTGACTGGAAAAAGGAAACGCATGTTTTCTCAATCTGCAGTTTACAGTAAAATTTTATGATATGAATTTTATGATTTTATGAATTGTCTGAGTATAGAATTTTTCAGTTACTGTTGTCAACGTGTTTCACTAGGTAAAAAGATAGTTTAACTATCTGAAATAAAAATCAACGTTTTCAATGTTAATAACCCTCCAAAATGCAGCAACGTTAAAATGAAAAAATAAAATCTAGCGTAAGACAACACATGTAATTTATAGTAATACATTTGATTTTCTTGCTCTAGCCTCTTAATTTCGTTAAATTTCCAATCATTTTGTATTAAGCATTAGTGTATGCACCTAGGCAATCTGCAGTGTTGCTACAATATAGGATTGAAACGTTTGACTGCTGAAATAAACTAAAATACAAAAAAAAACCACATATATCGGATAAGCTTGGTTCTCAGCATTATTTTATAGATTTTATAGATGTGGTTACAAACACAAATGTTTTAGCAGTTAAATACACCTGCTAATGGTTGCACGTTATATACAGAGAATAAATTATCGAAACCCAGGATTTAACCAAATTGTGAAGAATTTAGAAAAAGTTGAACAAAATTAATTTACAAAATCAAAAGTAGTACCTGGAATGTAAAAGCGATATACAACACTGATGTTAGCGCCATCACAGCTGGCGAGTGACTACGTTAACACCTTTGACCTCAACATGTAATGACCCAAATTGATTTCTGCCTGTCATTCGTGTTTACATTGATTATCTGTACACTCGTCTCGATACTTATTAGTGCAATCTGATTTAGTTATAAATACATCTATTAATTACAAGCCTGTTTGATGTAAATTGAATTAGCTTTACTATCCTTTGATAATACAACACACTTGGATACATGTTTGGATATATTGTTATAAATCCAGATGTAATATCTCAAGTTTACGATTTATTTACTAAAATGGTGATCGCTGAAATGGTTTTATAGTTCTCGAACCCTGCTTACAATCCTCAAACACATGTTATCAACATCCTGAATCATTGGTCTGAGTATAGTTAAACGCTGATATTGTCATTGGCAGATCAATATAACTGGCCGACTGCAGTGGTAAGTCGCAAATTTACTAGCCGGATATTTAGGCCTACTTACTGATTTCAAGAATTAAGATGAATAATTTCAACATTATTTTTCATGTTCAATCATTATGAACTTGTTGAAAGGTAAATGGAGCAGTTTGACATATCGCTTAACCTCATTTTATAACAAATATAATATGTTCGTTAGGGATAGAAAATTATTATACTTTAATAATATTATAGAACTTTTCTTCCGTCAATTTAAATAAAATGACACAGGTATTATAAAAACATTAGATGTATATAAACTTAAGTAATAATAGGAAGGGTGTCTTCAAATAGAGCAACAATGTTTGATACTGTCTTACGTTCATAGGTAAAATATAGCTTTTACTTAACTAAAATGCTATTTCACCTGCGAATCTTTTCCAGAAACCATAGATGGCGTGCCATTGATGATTTGTTAGTAATATAAAAATATAATCAGTTGTTTTAAAGTTTCTTCTGGAACTCGTCATATTTGCGTCAAGTATGCGGTCCAGACGAAGTCATACCCATGATAAAGTCTTAATTCCTAGATAATTATTTACAGTTACACTATTTGAAGTTAAACACCAATAATAAGTTATAATTGTTTGATCTTGTATAGGAACAGACAGCGTTGTTATTCATACTTAACCTTAACTAGTTCTCTTTGTAGGCTAATATATGCTAGTGAACAAGATATATTAAACAAATAGAGTGAAACAATTAGTAAGCTAATCCAAGCGGTGTTGATCTCAAAAAGCGTAAAACGCTTTCTGACGGCGAAAGTGTAATTTAATTAAAATGCCTTTTGATATAAGACTTACGATTGAAGTCAGGTAGCAAATTATACATTGGGATCTTGATTAGATTTTTCTGTTTCTCTGTGAAACTCTTTTAAACAATATTTTAGAGATAAAAAAGTCCGTTAATAATCCATCATACTACTTTGGCTTTGATTTTCCGACATAAAGTGTTATTGAAAATGTCAAATAATAAGGTAAAATTAGGTCAACAATAATATAATGTTGAAAAGGAAAAGACAAAACATTCCAACAGACTCACATATGCCTGCAGCGCCTTGGGCATTTTTGGGATGGTCAGTTCAAGTAAGGGTTTGTATTAGTTCTATTGATAATAGAGGAGAGAGCTGGTTTAGAGCGCGGGACTCCGGTTCCTGGGGTCCCGGGTTCAAATCCCGCCAAATCACTAATGGATTCTATATAAGTGATAATGCCGTAACCCCTAGGTCTAGCCTGAAGTAATGTGAAAAAAACAATTCTGGGCTCGTGCCTAACGTTCTAGGAAAAAAATTGATAATGTCAGATAATTAAATAATAGATTAACATACATCATAAAAGACATAATATACATAATTATTTATACAAAATATTTGTTTATGATCATTTAAATTTTGAAAAACGACACCTTTACATTTTTTACTGTTTTTAATAATTGAGTTTTGCACTTTATTTCGCACTGAACATTGAACATGTTCGTAAAAATTTACGAATTGGTTCTAAAATGTTACACTGTTTAACATAGCATTATCAAGTGTTATTTTAACTTCCAAAAAATGTGAAAATAAAATGGATTCTTGGTACAAAAAGGTTTAATCGTATTTAACAACTAAAGTTTACAGTTTTCTTTCGTCAACTATTTAATTTAGCTGTTTCAGTTCATTATACGTGATATATCTTGCTTAAATGGTGGATTTTGTGTTAAAAACAAAACCATGTTATTCAGCTCCATAGCCTCATCTAGGGGATATATTAATGAATTAACTAGAACTCAGTCAATTTTATCTTATTGGAATTCTAGTGTTACTTTCTATTTTGAAATTATAAAAACAAAAGTACTTGGAGCGAAATACAATTTGTATGGATGCAAATTCACTGCATTTATTATTTCGAAACCATTTTATAAAAAATTATTTTACAGTTTAAAGATGATTTATAATTTGCCTTCTGTCTGTCAGGTGGATTACAATCAAATCAACAACTTATAAAATTTAAAAATTCACCCTAGCTAAATCACATTTGATTTAGTCTTTGCATGAAATATTTGTAACACGTCAGAGAAACATGATTTAAGATATAAAGAAGGAAATCTATCATTCAACATGAGAACCACTGGTTGTGCGAAAATGAATTTCCGCCACGATACAGAAGAAATATGACCATCATGCGTCAAACGTATAACACATGTGACCACGTGTTGAGAAATGGTTCCTTTGGTGCAAATACTGAATATACTGGACAAGAGGAAATTCACTCAATTGTTTGAAAAATATGTTTAAAATTTAGCTGTAAAATTTTATAGACTGTCATTCGTTTTCTTGAATAAATGAATCAACACTCAAAAACTGTTATGAGTTTCTATGCAAGAGGGATGGGTTCGATCCTCGATATATTCAAACAATACAATATGAGTTATTATTGTTTTATTTATTATTCAAGTAGCTACTAGTGTAGAAACACGATTTTTGCCATTGTTTCAAATAAACCGTTACACTCCTAATATAAAAACCCTAAAGCTGGGTTTTCCTAGGCGCGGAGTCGGCCAGCGGAGTGAGGAACGCGGAGAGCGGAATTGAAATTAACATGGCATTCCGCTCCGCTTCTAGGAAAACAGTAACATTAAATTGCCTAAGACAAGTGGAGTCCGCTCTCCGCGTTCCTCACTCCGCTGGCGGACTACGCGCCTAGGAAAACCCGGCTTAAGGAAGAATCGTTAATTACAGGAAAATAACAAATAGATTTATAAATAGGTAAAATATTATCAGTGTTTATTATTAAGTGTTGTTCTAGTATTACAAAGTTGGATTTTATCGGTTATCTTACTGCTCACTTTATTTCTTGAAATCCACAGATTGTTCTTTGTGACTGGTGCAGAAAGAGGCATTTCGCTGTATTTAAGATATTCTTTAATAGAGGTAGATATAGTTGTTTTATGAGTGTCGCAAAGATAATTTGTACTTTAAAAATCGTTTATTGTACAGAAGTACATTTTTGAATAGTCTTCTTTCTCTTTTAATACATATGAAGAAGGAAAAGTAATTGATATTCATCATACCTTTTTAAACTTACTTAACCGTAGAATTTTATTTGTTTGTTTAAATATCTGGTAGTTTATTAACAAAACATTCCTGACTTTTTCTTACTACTCCTGATTAATATAAAATCACTTTCAATTTTTTCAACAATATCTCTTAATATTGTAACCACTTTTACAATTTTTAGTTTCAATACATCCGATTATAACGTACACTATTATTTTCTAAATCACCCTTCAGGCAAAACTTAGTACGTCGTCTATATATTGAAAACAGACAGACTAATGGACGGTGCAAAGCACAATGTATTAGTCTTGTTAATCAGTTATTTTATTCGAAGAGTTGATGTAAGTGAGGTTAGTATGAGACAGAATGTTATATTGGATGACTAATTAATGAACCCCCGTAGGGTGTGTTATGCTTTAGACAGCACAAACTGTATTAACAACTTACTCACGTGTAGTGTGTCTCTAGGTGGATTTAGATATTTAGGAACAAGAAAATAATTTCCGTTTCACAATTTTGTTTCGACTATTAAAATTTCAAATAAAGTTCTTGCGATTAGGTTTTACAAATAAATGAAATGAAAATTAATAATTCATGAGTCAAAGTAAGAAGCATTTAATCTTCAACTGTATTTACACGAGTATTTACAAATATTTTATTTACAAAAAACCCTATTTTAATCAATAAATTGCGTACGAAATGACTCACACACTCAATCACTTTGTTAGCAATTACAAAAGCACTAAAACTTTTCTAGGATAACTAGGCGTTCTTCAGAACTATTTTGTAGCTTAACTTTGAAGATAATGGATGTCACTGTACTGTAAGCGTGGCAAACCTTTCGTTCTGTTATTTCAAAATCTCTATCAGAAATTAATTTAATGTCTTCACAGCTCTCATGAAGTCATTCAGTTCTTGCCCGGAAGATATCAACTGGTGCTATGTCCGATAATGTTGTGTTTCACTAAGTGTTTATATAAACTGAGAATTGCATTCGATTTTGATTTTAAAATGTGAAGATTGATGAAAAATCATCATACTTTTGATTGGATTTTATTTAATCAAAATGTTGGCTGAAGAGGTAAGGATCTCCTGGTTGACGTTCAATAATATTGTAGTCGCTATTTGTGGATTGTGAAAACTACTTTGGAAAGATGTTGGCATATTTAGCCTGGATACCAATACATTTACCTTCGATTCTTCGCAAACTCGTATTTCATCATGGACTCTCATGTAAGGATCCAAACTGAGTTTTGATTTTTTTTTTTTTATGCAGGCTTCGGCTCAGTCTCAACATCTGCCAGAACTTTTGACAGTTCATTAACGCTGTCGTCTTCTGGGTACCGAATAAGATTCGAATGCATCATACTACTGTATCTATGTAGATTAAAAGTGTTCGTGATTCATAATAGCTTGAATTCTACTAACTCACTTTCTAGTATAAACTATTGCCATATATTTAGTGATAATTAAGGTTACTGAAGTGTTCATTTAAACTAACACTACAGTAAAATTGAAATGAAATATGTTCTTA